GTACCTGCAATATGTTTTGAAATCTGAAGTGTTTTAATTACGTTGAATGCTCTACAGTACTGAATGATGAGTTAACAAATGTTCATTCCTATAATGATTTGTTCCAGATCTTAACTTACGGCAGATTAGTCTGTTTGTTGAAATTAATAATGATTTGTTTGTTGGTATATTCACACATTAATAATCAGGGATGCACAATATATCGCCATCAGTATCGGCCGATGTTAGTCGTTTTTTAACATATTGGTATCGGTCCGATAAATAAAACTGGGTCGATATTAACAACCAATATTTTTTCTATCTTGTTTCCATTTGTTTATGTTTCAGAAGGTGACTGGGGGAGGGGGGTATTTGTTGAGTCATGTGACAGTGACTGTAACATTCTCAGAATGCTAAATGTGTGTCTTGTGTCTACATAATAACGTAAAATCAGCCTCAATAATTTTCACTCTAGACAAATTCTGCTGATTTTAGAAGCAATAATGTCAATTTATCAGTATCGGCAAATATTGGTTATCAGACATAACAGTGATATTAATGTCGGACATCGGTATCAGCCCAAAAATTTGATATCAGTGCATCACTGTTAATAATATTATTATGAATGTTTAACATTTTTACTTCACATTAATGTTTAATAGGATTTATTCCACATTAGGTGAAATAAACTCTCTAAGTGTTTGAGAAAGGAGTGGTGTCTGAGGTCCTTTTGATAACGCCCACTTACATTTTTTCAAATGCAGATTTGTCCAAGTTGATAAACAACAGTTATTAAAAAGAGTTGACACTTCCTCTAAAGGCAGTTCTGCCATCTGCTCGGCACTGGCCAAGCTGAGCAAGTAAGCGTTGAACCATCCTCCTTTTCACCTCAAGGTCAAACCTTTGCAATTCTGCAGAGCTGCGTCAGATGCAAACTTGATCTGACCACCAGCATTCACCCGGAAGGTATCTCAGACCAGACAGTTCGTATTTGGGGTGGAACTAAATGCTCCAAATACCACAGAAGTCAGTCCCAACGGCAGTTTGCCCGTAATGACTTCTCCGGACCCCTGGATCGCCGGGAGTCTTCAAACACAAGGGTTCGCCGATTCTGCACAATTGGCGTGGAATGGTTTTATTAATTGATAGCTTGTTAAACCATACAGTCTGGCTGATTTTACAACCCAGACATAACAATTTTCTAAGGCACTTAATTAGTTTTTGCTACATAACCTCTAAGCTTACATTCCATCATCTCATTCACTGTCTCAGTTATCTTGTTTCAACCATCATTCATCATAATTTGTTCAGTGTCATCATTAGCAGTAGAAATGTAGTATTAAATTGATTTTGGGGAGCTGTTGATGTCAACTGGGGCTATAGTCGGGCGTGGAAGGAGTACTTTGAAGACCTCCTCTATCCCACCGGCACGTATTCCGAGGAGTAGCCAGAGCCGGGAGACCTGGGGATGGACTGTCCAGTTTCTGGGGCAGAAGTTGGTGAGGTAGGCAAACAACTGCGCAGCGGCGGAGCCCCTAGGGTGGATGAGATCAGACCTGGGTATCTCAAGTTTTTGGATGTTGTAGGACTCTCTTGGTTGACACGTCTCTGCAACATTGCGTGGTCATCAGGGGCAGTTCCTGTGGAGTGGCAGACCGGGGTGGTGGTCCCAATTTTTATAAAGGGGGACCAGAGGGTGTGTTCAAACTATAGGGGGATCACACTCCTCAGCCTCCTGGGAAAGGTCTACTCCAAGGTACTGGAGAGGAGGATCCGGTTGATAGTTTAGTCTCTATGGAGGAGCAATGTGGTTTTCGTCCTGGCCGTGGAACTGTGGACCAACTCTTTACCCTTGCTGGGGTGATGGCAGAGGCGGAGCTGGCCTAAATGGCGCCCTGTGCGAGATCCCCCTGTGTTCATTAGCACATCAAGTTCTATTCAGTTTACCGGTAAACATATCACGAATGTACAACAGGTCAATTATTAATCATCTTGGCTACGTAGCTCAATCTATGCATTCCAGTAGCGTTTGCTACAAACAAATATAAAAACAACAATAAAGGAAAACAACTGTCTGACAGACAGCATAGCCGAATTCAAGGCAACACATAACAATCATCATTTGATTGCTCTTGGTTTCAAGTTAAGCCCACTAAAGTGCTTAAGTAAAATAAAAGTGTTTCAAAAACAGCGTTTTTGAACCGGAGTTCTGCTCGCGGTGGGAACTCCGCCGAACAAGGTCATTTTTTATAGCGAAAACGATCGACTGGTCACTGACAAGTAAAAGGGTGTTATTGGTAGATGTTAAGAACACTTACCGCTGAGGTAAAATGAGAGTATAAATGAACTGAGGGGAGAAAAACGCTTTGTTTTCCAACGCCGTTCTACAAGCAACAAGCTTACAGCCACGGCACGAGCAGCTTTCATGGTTGCCGCGACGTGGAAGGAGCCAATCAGGAGAGAGACCTCACATCAGCTGACGTGGGTCATGTGACAGGGAGTAGTTGATATGGGTTACACTTTGTTGTGCTTTTATTACAGAAATATTAGTATTATCATCATTATTATTATTAAGAACATGCGATTTCTATGTTTTGTTTATGTATTGGTTGATGCTAAAAAAAAAAATTTTTTTTGAAAAAAAAAAAAAAAGGAAAAATGCCGCCCCCTGCAGACTGCCGCCCTGTTCGGCCGCACATGTTGCACATATCAAGCTCCGCCACTGGGTGATGGAGGGGGCATGGGAGTTTGCCCAACCAATCCACATGTGGTTTGTGGATTTGGAGAAGGCTTATGACTGTGTGCCCAGAGGCATCCTGTGGGGGACGCTCCAGGAGTATGGGGTGGATGGTCTTTTGCTAAGGGCCATCAAGTCCCTGTTCCAGAGGAGTGTGAGTATGGTCTGCATAGCCGGCAGTAAGTCAAACCTGTTCCCAGTGAGGGTTGGACTCCGCCAGGGCTGCTTTTTGTCACCGGTCCTGTTCATAACGTTTATGGAAAGGATTTCTAGGCGCAGCCGTGGTGTTGACGGTGTGGAGTTTGGTGGCAGGACAATCTCATCTCTGCTTTATGCGGAAGATGTGGTCCTCCTAGCTCGATCAGGCTCTGACCTACAGCTCTTGCTGGGGAAGTTCGCAGCTGAGTGTGAAGCGGCTGGGATGAGGATCAGCACCTCCAAGTCTGAGACCATGGTTCTCGACTGGAAAAGGGTGGCTTGCCAACTCCAAGTCAGGAGAGAGGTCCTGCCTCAAGTGGAGGAGTTCAAGTATCTCGGGGTCTTGTTCACGAGTGAGGGTAGGAGGGAGCGGGAGATCAACAGGCGGATTGGAGAAGTGCCTGCAGTGATGCAGACGCTGAACCGGTCTGTTGTGGTGAAGGAGGAGCTGAGCCAGAAAGCAAGTCTCTCGATTCATCAGTCCATCTACCGCCCAGTCCTCACCTATGGTCATGAGCTCTGGGTAAGGACAGAAAGATACAAGTGGCTGGGCTCAGCCCTTGGATAGGGTGAGGAGCTCAGACATTCGGGAGAGACTCGGAGTAGACCCGCTGCTCCTCCATATGGAGAGGAGTAGTTGAGGTGGTTTGGGCATCTTGTTAGGATGCCTCCTGGATGCCTCCCCAGGGTGGTTTTTCAGGCATGTCCTGCCGGCCGGAGGCCCCCTGGTCGACCCAGGACACGTTGGAAAAAGTATTTTTCCGAACTGGCCCAGAAACGCCTTAGGGTCCTACCGGAGGAGCTGGTGGAGGTGGCCGGGGAGAGGACGATCTGGAACTCTCTAGTTAGGATGCTGCCCCTGCGACCCGGACCTAGATAGGCGGAAGAAGAGATGAGAAATAGATTTTTACAAAACTATATTTTTGCATCTGCCTCAAATTCTTACGAAGGTGTGATTTCCCTGAAGAACTAAAAAGACCTGGATTAATCTTAGATCAAATTTCTAAAGATCAATAATTGATCATTCATATTTATATGGAATATCATTTTATTGATCATTTAATAAAAGTTATCACTTACATCACGTTTCATAAGACTTTAGTAGCCAACATCTTATCCTGGCCTCCTCTCTCAGACAGCTACAGCAGTGCAGGGCGCCAGCTGTTTTTGTGCAAATCGGACTGGGTGTCCTGCGGTTGGTTGTGTGCATATTGTAGGTGTAGAACATCCACGGGGCTACGACCGGGACTCCCCTGCAGCCCCCTTAACTCCTTTTTATCTGACTTCTGACAGAGATGACTGTAGGTTTCATTACATTCAGAGCTGGAGGCTCAGAAGCTCCAGCTGCCCCTCACCTGAGGAGAAACCGCTTTGCGCACTAGCGGGAAATCGCAACACCCCAGTGTTGGCAAAAGTGTGTGTTGACTCACTGCTACGCAAATGTGTATACTCCAGGAGTCACTCATGTCGGCAGGGATGAGACTAGTGTGTCATAGGTCGATTCTGGGCAGCCCAGGTCTAAGCTACAAATCCCAGACACAAAACACCGAGTCATAACTGGAGATGTGATCCAACTAAAGAAAATATGCTAATTATATACATTACATAAAAACTACTAGTTTTCATCTGTTCATTACATAAAAACTACTAGTTTTCATCTGTTCATTATACAATCTAAAATGTGTGTACATTCTGAATCACGACCGAAGCCAAAGGGACAAATCCAAAGATTTGTAGTCATCTATTGCAACAGGAATTTTTCCACTTTCCTATCCTTTAGACACTTATATCCTTAAATTTTACACATTTGAATGGAAAAAATTCTAACTTGAGATTTAAAGCTTATTTTGATTTTATGATTTAGAGTAAGACACAAGTTTGTTTTCCATGTTTTATTTTTTTATTCCAAAGCTGAAGCAGACCCAAAGTACAGCAGGTGGAGGTGAACGTATGCAAAGACGACACACACACACACACACACACACACACACACACACACACACACACACACACACACACACACACACACACACACACACACACACACACACACACACACACACACACACACACACACACACACACACACACACACACACACACACACACACACACACACACACACACACACACACACACACACACACACACACACACACACACACACACACGTGCTTCTACTACAAAATTGTGACGAGCCAAAAAAAAAAAGTCACAAACATTCAAATAACATGTTCACTGGTGAGCCATTTCTCGGTGATCTTAATCAAAGTGGATGTGATTTTACAAAGTGAAGACGCCCAAACTTACAAAATAATTTTCTATGATCCCAGGAGAGCTGGGATGTGTTAACCCAATAACAAGAATATGAGTAAGAAAGCTTTATATCCCCTCAGAGTAATGCCAGCTTGCTGGTGGTATGTCAGACTGTGCACCATAACCAAGGACAAAGTCCGCTCAGTGCTCCAGGAAGTGGGTAGAATTGCATCAGGTCAGATTAGTTGAAACAGAAGCTCCTGGAAGTTCAGCTGATGCAACTTACAGCGCATCTAAATGGTAAATCGACACCGTACAGGGCGATGCTGCTCACAGGAACACACACAAACACCCTCTAATGTTGCTCAACATCGTCCCAACACAGTAGCAAACTGGACAAATAAAAAGAAAACATATAAACACAATTTCAAGCTGACAAACCTGCATAGCATTAACTATATAATATATATAATGATATATATATATTATATAATCTTCTGATATTTTAGATTCTGTTGGGTATAACTGGTAAAAGCTGGAACCAAAAAAGGTAGAAAGGAGTTAAAAGCCGTTTGCTGATAAGCAATACTCATTAAGGCCTACACTAAAATGTTCATAAAATACATGAAAAAATACAGTCTAGTCTGCCCCCTGCTCTCCACTGAGCTACATGCCAGAGGAAGAGCAGTTTTTAAACTGCTTCTTACTCTGCTAAACTACTCAACCTGAAGAAGGATTTGGGTTGGAGAGGGGGGCAGTGTGAGGTGCTCCGTCAGAGTGGCACACTGTCCTGGTGAGAGTGCATAGGCCTCAGTTTAACATTCATAAACACAAAACAGGACTTGAAAGACACTCCCCATCCGAACCACACACATCGGCGTCTATTTGCGACTAATTCCAACATACGGCGACATAGTACTTACATTCCTCCTGTCAGTTAAACATACATCTGCTCGTGTTTCATGTTCACTAAGAGAGAAACCTTCCCTTGTTTCCATTTTTGGGGTTTAGCCGTGTGATAGAACATTCACAGGTTAGAGTGCTGAAACTGGAGCTGGGCAGTGGGCTAGAGGACAACTACTACTAATACTAAGGCTTTATTCCAACATTCAAGTCCCTCTGAGTACACAACCTGATATATACTGAAAATAGGAGGGGAGATGGATACTTCCTCTTTGTCTGTATTATATAATCTCTTCTCTGGTGTAAAAACACAAATCAGCTCATCATCGTGCCATCAGAACAGAATGATGAACTTGATATAATGATACAGTAACAAACAGGGGAAAAACACTTTTATAAAAACAAAATTTGCCCAAAAAAGAAACACTGATGAAAAAAAAAACATGCAATGCAACTTGTCAACTAATTATTGCTTCCTGTTCAAAACCGGTGTTGTAAGTGCATGCAAGCGTGCATCTCTCAGTGGGTGGCTGACTTTGGCTCTTTCATGGCATTACTGGCTTTCTTCCTCCTTTTAGCTAGCAGGGGATTGGTCGAGTCTTCGATGGTTTTGATTTTGATTTGCTCATAGTCGACTCTCATTGTTGCCAAGGCACTGGTCATTTCCTCCTGGGGAACAAGGAAAATAAGGTCATTAGATGGTTTAACTCACCCCTCAAAGCCTGTGGTTTCTATGGAAACATAAATGCAGATGTTCTAATGTAAATATTAGCCTTTCACTTTTTACTTTATTTAATAAAATTATTTATTTTATTTATTCAATGTCTTAAGATTGAACTTTGACCACAGCGCTCTGTGGTGTAGACTCAAACACAAAAGGTTCTGCTCTGCAGGTCAGTATAGCCACGCTCCATTCTAGCCTCAGCAAGTCTACCACTGGCACCAACATTTTTGTGTCTGGCCAATCACAGCGCTCTATGTTTGTTGGTCAGGCTTAACGCTAGAGCTGCGACAGAGAAAAACAACGATGCCATTGGCTCAGGAATGGAATACGTTTTAACTGGTTTTGGCATTAAATTGAACAAATCTTCCAGAATTAACAATTTATTAAACGACAGAAACCATTGAGGTTGTTGTTGGAAGCCATGACCACTCCGTTCTTCCACGGTGCAAACTGCCCCGTTGACAGTTTTCCATCGATATGAGTGTGTCACGTTCATTGCTCTGATTGGTCCTATGTTGAATTACGTACAGAGACAATTTGATGGACAACCATAGATTCTGCCCATTTGAGCCGTTACAATAGTTCGCAGCCAGACTACATACATAGGATGGGTAGCTAGGCTATGAAAACTTAGCTCCATCATTTGATTTTCTCACCACACTGCTCTTTAGAGTCATGTTCAACAAGGTGCTGAAAGCATTCTTTAGAAATGTTGGCCCATATTGATAAGATATGATCTTGCCGTTGATGGAGATTTGTGGGATGCACATCCAGGGAACAAAGCTCCCGTTCCACCACATGCTCTTCTATCAGCTTGAATCACTTGGCCCATTCTCCTCTGACCTCTAGCATCAACAAAGCATTTTCACCCACAGGACTGCCGCATACTGGATGTATTTCCCTTTTCACACCATTCTTTGTAAACCCTAGAAATGGTTGTGTGTGAAAATCCCAGTAACTGAGCAGATTGGGAAATATTCAGACCGGCCCGTCTGGCACCAACAACCATGCCACGCTCAAAATAGCTAAAATCACCTTCCTTTCCCATTCTGACATTCAGTTTGGAGTTCAGGAGGTTGTCTTCACCAGGACCACACCCCTAAATGCATTGAAGCAACTGCCATGTGATTGGTTGATTACATAATTGGATAAAGGAGAAGTTGAACAGGTTTTCCTAATAATCCTTTAGGTGAGTGTATATACAGTGGTCCCTCACTATAACGCAAATCACCTTTCGCCCCCTCGTAGTTTCCCACTTTTTTTTCTTGCATACTGAGTTCTGCGTCCAAAGGTACAAAGGCTTGAACTTTGAGAGTGTTTAAACAAGACAGAAAGGTGTGAAAATATTAATGTCTGTCTGAGAAAAGTGTATAAAGTGTGTAGTGAGGGGTATTACAGTCTAAACCTTGTGGCCATGCGCTGGGATGAGCACGTCTGCAGGGGAGAGTGGTTATGTCAGCAGGAGCACATCGTGTTACAACTGGAGTACGTTAGTAATCTGCGCTCGTGTCTTTACAGGAGGAGAAGACTTGATTCTCTACAACATGACGAGGAAATGCTGGAGTGGGTGTGCTAGGGCTGGGTGATATGGCCTAAAATCAATATCACGATATATTGAGGATTTCACCTCGATAACCATAAATGGACAATAACTACAGGTGTGCGCAGAAACTAAAGTTGTCCACTAGATGGGGCTGTCACGTGAATTCTTGTGACTCAAGGTGGTACAGCTTCTTCAAGGGCCATGGTTGCCAACCTACACACATATTTTCATTTTTTCATTAAATTTGACATGGAAAAAAATCATCTGAATAAGAGTCAGATATTTCAATAGATAAATTTTCGATTTATTGCCCAATCCTAGTGTGTGCAAATAAAACTGTTTACCCATACTAGAGAGAGAGAGGGGGGGTGGGGGGGGGGGGGGGGGGGGGTGGGGGGAGACCTATCATGAGTTATTTTTTATCATAAGTCCAGCGATTAACGAGGGACCACTGTATATCCACACACACACACACACACACACACACACGCACGCACGCACGCACGCACGCACGCACACACACACACACACACACACACACACACACACACACACACACACACACACACACCAGGGGCAGGTGTTTACATCCTTCACATCCAAATTGATAGAAAGTCATGTCAGCTGTTAAAGTCTTTAGAAATCTACACAACTAAAGATCTGAAAGGTTTTCATTCAACAGATCTGTTGTAATATTTTTCCCTTTAGGACTAACATGACCTGGTTGAATGAGAATCTACAGCAACCAAGAAGAATAAAGAAACTTTGTGAGATTTACTTTATGTAGTCATTAGAAAACTCACCTTGACATCTTCCCAGGCATCTCTCTCCTCATTTAAAACCCGGCTGGTGTGAAGGGGGGTCTGAGGGACCTCCATTGATTGCTTTAAATGAAAACAAACACAACTCAAACTCACTCTAGAGCAATAACAGTGATGTGAACTAAAAGTTTCATGAATCCTACATTGATCCATGGATGATTCATAAACTCTGCAATAGTCATCCTTTGGGTGGGCTCGGTCTTCAGGAGGGTCCTGATCAGCTGTTTAGCTGCGGACACAAGACGGGATTTTAAATGTTAAACTTCATTTTCTGAGCTCTGTTCTAGAGTTACTTCCCGGATCAAACACAGGAGAGTAGCAATAAAGGATAAAACCGTAAATATAATTTGTTTTCCAATAGTTTAAACTACATTAACATAAAAGATTAATAACTCTCTTAGTGACGTCTTATATCTAAAGCTGGAGGTGCCTTGAAAGAAGCTGCTAGATGCCTTTTTCTTCTGTTTTTCCCTCACCAGATTTTCCGGGGCCTAGATCTACGATGAACAGGATTATCCAACTCCAACTTATGCAGTGAAGTTAGAAAACGTTGTCGATGTTTTCGTTTCACTACTGCAGGCATCATTTAGAGAGAAATTAGATATCAAAGCTCCAATTTTCATTTCTTTTTAAAACCATCAAATTAGTCAGAAAACAGAAACTAACTTTCAGCAGTAAAAACGCAGGGAAACCTCTGAATCGGTTTCAATTCCTGGATCTGACTTAAGATCAGCTTCGAAGTTGTGTTTACATAAGATGTTTACAAAATCGATACGGAGGTAATCAAATATTTTAGGAAAGTGAGAATATCCATATTAAAGACTGAAATCAAGTAAAACTCCCCCCGTTAGCACTGGATGTGTTCACTTAAAAATGACATTATTAGAACAAAGTTTTATTACGATCTATAATTTATGAAATAACATGAAATTACAGGACTTTCTATGAGTTTTGCTGAAACCATTTCTGATTTTTTTAATGCTTTGAAGTCATGTGAATCTTCCCTGAACAGTCCTTCTCAACCAGCCCTCAGCAGGTGTGTATTATGAAGAAAGAAATGTGTCTTCTGATCCTTTTTGATAAATCGCACAAGGGCTATGGGGGTCCTAAACATCTGGGAAGGATGGAGGCTACGGTGAGCTGGCATTAGGGAGAGCTCTGTACCTTCTTCTGATACATCGGACCATTCGGGGTTGGGAAATTCATACTGGCCCATCCTGATCCTCTTCTTCATCCCAGGAGAGATAGCCAGCCCGTGGTTAGAATAAAATGGAGGGTACCCACACAACCTGTTAAAATATTAAGAACGATAACATCAGCTATGGCACTGAATAATCAACCATGCTGTAAATCACACAAAGGCAGACATACAAGATATACATAATGACGCCCAGCGACCACATGTCACATGACTTGTCGTATTTCTCCGGGCCGAGAACCTCTGGAGCTGCAAACAGAGATTGGAGCATGAACACAGAGTGAGCTAATGACAAAACCCAACAGAACAGATCAGAATGGGCATTCTTACCAACATAGTAGGGCGTGTAGCAGGGAGTATCTAAAGAGTTGTGTGAGGTCGTCTCCTTAGCAAAGCCAAAGTCGGTGAGTTTGAGCATAGCGCTCGGCCTCTTTGTAGAATACAGCAGGTTCTCTGGCTGTTGCATTCAGAAACCCACGACAAAATAAACAGAAACAGGTCAGTAACTGGAGACATGGGTCATTTAATATAAAACCACATTAATTAAACACAAACCTTGACGTCTCTGTGAGCAATATTGATTGAATGTAGGAACTGGATAGCCTCTCCTATGTTCTTCATAATATCAGAAGCCTCTACAATGACACACAAAGTTTGTTTAAAATCATTCACTAATGGATTGTGGCCGACACAAACATGACAAATGTCACAACTATTAGAAGGTGCACTTTTTTCACATATTAGTACTTCATGTAGCTGCAGATTTTAGGTCCGGCCAGGGCTTGTTACCTTTCTCTGTGAAGGCCTGGTCTCCTCTGTCCTGAATTCTACTAAAAAGCTCGCCACCATCCATACTGTAAACACAGAAACACACAACTTAACATGCCGTTTAGTTAAAAAATAAAAAACCTTTTGTTTCATGCAAAGGTCAATTCTATCAAGTATTACAGCTGGCACATTGGAACAAAGCCAATAAAATGGTTCCACACTGGTGCTTTGGGATTGATTTCCTACTAGAGAAACACAAGCAGGTTTTAATGTGACTAACTACTCCCAAAAGGACGGGGTGCAGCAGAAACCTTCTTTACTGGTGAGGAACCCAATGGAAGCTGGATAGAATTCCTAAGAAAAACTTTACGCTTTATAATAAAATAAATAAGGACAGGCCTTTAAGGTTTAAAGATTTAATCCTAGGGTGCATCACTTTATCAAAATGATCCCAATAGTTGATTCGATGACTATGCAGTAGGGCTGAACGATCTATCGTTTTTGGACTGAAATTGCGATTTCAAACAGCACGATCACGTGACCGTCAAAGCTGCGGTTTTAGCGGTTTTGACTGATCGGGGATCAGTTGTGTAATTTTTTTTTACATCCAGGGTTTTCCCCGTGTTATGGCGGCGGCAAAAGCCAGCGCACGGGAGGGGGGTGGGGTGTACCGTCCAGAGCCGAGCCCAACTCCACAGCTGCCAGAGCTGCATGTTCAGGTTATTTTCCCTGTTTTATGTTCCCACACACAGCGCTGCTAGAGCCGATAATAACGGCACCGTAGGTGAGCCCGGGACAGAGAGAGAGAACGTAGTTGAGCAAGGGAGAGAGAGAGACTCCTCCCACATCGGAGCAGATTCAGGCTGATTTCTAAAAGCTTGGTTTATGCTTCATCAGCGCGAGTGCGGAGTCGCTCACTTTAGTTAACTTGAAAGCTCAACTTCTCTTTTAAAACTGGCTTGAATGTTTCCGATGGCACACGTTAGTTCAAACAAGCTAAGGTGTCAGAATGCGTGCGTCTCTCTCCCGGAACTGATGTTTTAGTGAGGAAAAACTATCAGACGGCTGTGAAAAACGTGCAGCCAGTCAGCCTTGGTAATGCAGGGAAACTGTGCATTTTTTGTTATTTAATACATTTAAAAGCTATTTCTACCTACAGATTTCCTCCATGCATTTTGGAGTAGAACATGTTTTTAGAAAGCTCCTCTCTAGATAAAAATCACAAATACAAGTTGCTTCACAAACACATTAAAAAAACGATAATGGGAGAAAATATTAATAGCTTTAACTGTTTTATTGTATGATTAAACAGTAAATATTAATGTGAATGATTTGTTGTACTAGATTAGAATCTAGACCATATTTTCACCTAATCTACAGGATGGCTTGGCAGGATAGCGTTGGACCTTTGTTTGCAGAAAATTGTGAATTGAACCGAAATCACATTTTCTGCTGGGAAAAATAGCAATTCAATCTTTTCCTAAAATCGTTCAGACCTACTATGCAAGTGGATTTTTTCTCCCCCCACTGTCTTTAAGGTGCTCTGTGGTTTCCTGGGAGGCCAGGACAAAGACATTTTGGTTCATTATTTGTAAACTGATATAAAATCTGTCAGACAAGACATCTAAAGTCTCTAGATAGCAAGCTACTTCATAACTGGAATACATTTCTCTAGGTGTTAACCATCATTTCTGACTACTATAAATAATGCTGCAACAAGACCGATTCAAACAGAACTCACACTACTACTAGGCCACTGAGAAGGTAATGATGATGTTTGAAAGCAGCACTTTTTTAGAGTAAGCAAAAAAACATTTTTTCGTTCAAACACTGAACAGTGAGTTCAATTGCAGATTCATTCAGAATTAGTTTTATTTTTAAGAAATTTAGTATTGGGCATTAAATTTTAGATTATAGATTTATAGCTTATGGCTTAAGTTTTTCACAGAAGACAAATGCATGCGCATAATGTATAAAACACCTCAGAAATTTTACTTTATTTTATTTACTCTTTATTTAACCAGGAAGGTCCCATTGAGATTGAAAACCTAATTTTCAAGGGAGTCCCGGCCAAGAGTCAGCAAAGGTTGCAGCTACAAATATTATCAAGTAATCAAGTAATTCATATTTTAAACAAAACATAGCCTAGTGAGTGAATTCAATTCCACTTGATCGCAAAATAAGCAGAGAAAGTTCAATTCTGGTGTCATTTTAAACAAATCATAAAATCTTTTCATTCACATGACAAAGGTGTTATTTCTTTTTGTTTTTTCCAGATTTGGAAAAATAATTCTATATTAGGGTTAGGGGTAGGTGTTTCATGCATTATTCCTCCAGTACTGTGAAAGTACTGTATTTGTTCTGCATTTATTAGGTCAAAGCTTGTTAGGGACAGTATTTTGTTGGATTGTAAGGACAAAATGTACTCCGATGCCCAGAGCTAAGGTACTGAAACTAGCATAGCTAATCAGTATAATAACCACAGAAACTAAGAGGACTTCCACAGCTCGCTTTAGAAAAGGCTGAATAAGAGAAAAGGTAGCAGGTCTTAACAAAGACAAGTGTTAAACTAATGATTAGTTACCTCAGTTGAGTTTACCAAACTTATCCTCACTTTTAAGTTTCATTTAAGTTTGGGTTTTTTTTTTCAGTAAATGACTGCAAGTTTCAGGACGAATCATCAGTTACATTTTCTAATAGCTGTGTTGAATGTCTCATGAGACCAAAGAGCGGTTCTTCAGCCCTGCAGCTGGTTACAGGAGAGCAGAACTCAGAACCAAGAGACACCCCTGCCAAACCACAGCCACACAAACGTCTCCACATTTTTGCTTACTGAGAAAAGAGACACCAGAGGCTCGACGCAGAAAGGCAATCCCTGGTTAATGCACCTTACACCCTTTAAATGTGGTAGGAGCTATTCTTAAAGCCTCTCAACCCAACCCACTTGCTCGGTTTCTGAAAAATGTCAACGCATGGATTATTTATGAAAAGTGATGATTTTGATCAAGGTGCACGTGGTTACACTAAAACAGCAGAAAATCTTAACGTCCTAACACGCATCAACCCACGTCGTCTAACGTGCAACCTGAGGTGTGAAGACGCCTTATCTACAAGGATAATGAAACAAAGACACTAAAACTCTTTGTAAGCACATCTTGTGTTTGATCAAATGTTCCACATTTTGTTTTTAAAGAACGTTGTCATCTTTTACTTAAATGTAAACCAGCAGTTGTTGGTCATCTAACATCCTGAATTACATTCTAACACACTGTGTTGGGGAGTAATGGATTACATGTACTGCTGTTAAGTATTTAGAGTACCAATTATGAGTAACTGTATTTTGTTTAAGGTACTATTTTTAAACACGGTCTTTAGAATGCAGTTACTTTCGTAGTACCATTTGAATATTTGTGTGTTTTCCACTTTCCACCCGAAAGATGAATACAGAAAAACTTCGGTCAATGCGTGTCCCCGCGCTGTGTAGAATATACAGTCTGGCCACAGTCCACTGATGACTCAGTCGTGGGCCAGGATCTACGGTTGTCTTTTAAACCGTCTCCGCATGCTCCTGAATTACTAACAATGTGAGCTAATCACTAGGGCTGCAACAAAAAAATAATCGATAAAATCATTGAAGAAATGCGTTAGCAACGTGCCCATGTGTCTTATTTGGATGTTTAATGGCTGTTAGTGGGCATCTTATTACTGTATTAGTTAGTGTACAATAATACAGTATACACAGTAATACATATTACTGTTTTACTGTAAAAAAACAATTATAATTGACACAAGTTTTAGACTGAATTTCTTCATCTGCCACTGATTCACGGCTATTTGAACGCAGAAATACTCAGAAATGCAATTTTGAGCTTACATTTCTTTAGATATGTCCTGTAGCACAAGAAAAATGTCTCAAACATGTTAAAAGCAGAAAAGACATGATTTTCATTTCAGTGGGAATTTAAAGCAAGCTTTCAGTATTTTGTGACTACTTTTACAAAGTATTTACCTCAACACTGATCACATCACCTTCTGTTATTTGTAATTAAATGCTTTAGGCAACATTTTATTTCACCTATAAGGCAGGCGACTGTCAAGCTGAAATTCCTACACGATGGTGTTTATTTGACATTGTGGCAATGTGACCCTTTACACAACGTGGGACAACCAGTAGAATATAGGTCAGACTCGCTCTATGAGTCAGTGCAAGTAGGACAAAGATGTGTGCAGTACTACTTCTATTAGTGTTATATTCTAGGAAGTGTTTTGATTTCATAAGAAGAACATTTAAGCCCTTTATGTTGAGCTTATTAGATCAAGGAAGTTAATCATCACCACAACATGTGAGCGTGTCAGCACACACGTCTTCCTCTGTAGCGCAATCATAACCACACATCAAGTGTGTGCACGTGTAAGGAGTTAACGGGGGAGGGAGTTAAAATGCTACAAGATGGAAATAGTAAGCTGAGGAAATAACACAAAGCTCATTTAGAAGAAATAGGACCATCCAGAGCTGAGTTACAATAATTTACCTGCTAAGGTACTCAGAGCAAATCATTGGTTCAGAAAGCAAAACTCACTTACTCACCTCCCCAATAACTGTGGTCAGTAATAAATAGAAATTTGAATAATTCACTGAATTGTTTTGTTTAACAAGCAGAAGCTGGACTGAAAGTCTTATTGTATGTGTAATAATATTCCATGTTCCATTTAAAAACTCTAATTACAATTCCAGAACTGAATAAATAAAATAAAAAAGTAGCTCACATTTATTTAAAAAACAAAGATTTTCATTTAAATAAACAGCATCTCTCGTGTTAATAGTATGGTTTAAATTCTCACTTTTGGGACAATACAAAGATCTGAGGACAGGTATGAGAATAAAGTGAGGAAAAACATTTAATCACAAATAAATTATATGATTTAATCCTATGTATTAAAACAAAATATTTATTAAAAATGTATGAACTGGGTTTGCTTGTTTGATTTTTTTAGAGAAAGAAAAACTGGTATTATTTAGCTTCAGTAACACAGCTTTCTATATAAAGATTTCTTGTTTCTAAAAAAAAAATCCCATTATGAGACATTTATATATTTTCAACACGTAAATAAATATCTGATTTGAACAAAACTGGAAAAAATTAAATCTAACAACCACCTTGTCAAATGACCACTTTACTACAAGTAGTAGTAGTAGTTTTATAATAATTATTATTCCCACAATTACTGTTATTACTATTATATAGGGGTGTAACTAGGTTAAACTCTTATTTGGTTCGGTTCAGTGTTTTGAAGGGCTCGATTCGATTAATTTTCAGTATATTAATTATTTATTTAATATCTGAAGCGGCTCCTATAGTGAGCAGAACCAGGTGCCATCACAGGCTGCTGATCTAGCATAATGTATACAATTATTTCACAGGGTATTTACGCCACAGACATATATACATAGATGCCCTGTCGACTGTCGCTGTCTATTGGAGACGCCGTAGTGGCCGACTGCCATTTTAGATAGATTAGCCCCCAGTGCATCGTTTCTGCTGAGGGAGGTGCTTACCCAACTAATAAGTACATTAGGATTTTTCACAAAATCAAACACAAGATAAATATAATTTAATTAAATAAATATTAAATATCAAATCCTATCAGGTAGGGCAGAAAAGTCACTAGTAATCCCATGTGATCTCTTTTCAATTGTACGCTGGTTGATGTAACCATACCGTAGGCTGCACAGAAACAGGCACAGTTGCTCACTCTGCATTGGCTTTGGAGAGTGAGGAGACCCATCCAACATGGCGGTGTCGCAGTTACAGTCTCCAGCGCCCAATGGGGCATCTACGTATTTATGTCTTTGATTTGCGCAGCACACTCTCATACAGACGAGTGTTGTGTTTGATGTGTCTTTATTTCTTAAAAACTCACCTCACACCGCCCAGAGTTTCTTCTTTAAAACTCGTATTAAATAACGAGCGAAACATGGCAACTAGTATGGCATTGCCCAGAGACTTACACCCACTCCCTCGTATTTTAGACCAGATTATTATGGTTACAGATAAAAATATGCCAATATTTTTCAACAACTGGGCATCATTTAATTCATTTAACAAATTTTGATGGACGTTTCCAGAGATCAACAGTAAAAAATACACATGGTCTCTTTAAAGGTAAGATCTAGATGTGAACAGGTTATTTTTAAAGTGTTCTCATTTAAAATACATGAAACATTTTTTTCAAGCAGAGACGTAATATAATATATATGAAGTAATATAATGCATACCTGAAATAAATATTCACATATGTGGACAGGTGAAAGAGAGAGAGAGAGCAACAGAGAAAGTGCTGTATACTCACTGCTCCATGACAATAAGCAGACACCTCCTGCTCTGGTAGAGGTTCTCATAAACATCAACGATACGCACAATGTTGGAACAAAGTGATGCCCTCCAGTGGAGATCCACCTCTCTGCGGGCCTTGGGACAGTCCTGCAGCATCTGGCCAAAAGGACAAAGACAGAAAGGTGACTATCCTAAACACAAGCTTGACATGAATGCTATGTAGGGGCAAAAGAAGCACTGCAATAGAATTGCTCAAAAGTAAAAAAAAATCTGTGTTATTGAAGCTAAAGAAAATCCCAAAATACTGGATTTCAGAACTAATTTACAAGAAAAGCAAACATAAAACACAGAAGTGAAACGCTGCCATCAGATGGCAGTTCTGAAGGTGGTTAGATTTAATCAGCTACATGAGGAAGTAGCCCCCTCTGCCTGTAACACTATTTTATTGCACCAGAAATAATTTGTGTTATTAGATGCTCTTTTGGGAAATTGGTGTGGTAATTTATTTGGTATCAATGTTTTACATCTACATTTTTTTTTATTTATAATAATTAACTAGTATTTTCTTTTCTATTATTTGCTTAATAAACAAGCCATTTTGTTTGAGTTTGAGGTTCTGCTAACCTAAAAGTAAATGACATTTAAAAAGGCCAAACAAAAGCCTGGCTTTCTGGACACTATTATTATTATTTGAGTTGAATGCTAAAGTCACATATGAGCTTCTCGCATGTTTTTAAAAAGCTTGAATCTCTGCATATTCAGCAGTGTGGACCAAGAAAATGTTTTCAGTGACTGATACACTTTCTAACCAGCTGCAAAGCTGTTTAGAATATAAAAAGCAAAATGGAGGCAAATGAATACTGGATGAGTGTTAATTTATGTTCGTCAGTAAGAGAGGAAAACATCAACAACGTAGCTCTGACAGCGAGCGGTCTTACATTCCAGACCAGCCTACTATCATAACATGACAATGGTCTTTATTCTGTGATGCAACACATGTCCAGTTTGTTTTCTGGTTTAACACACAAGAGTGTTTACATTCTCACGAACACACTTGGTTAACAGTGAGATAACAGGTGACACAAGTAACACGAACTGTGCCGTAAAGGAAACGACAGACCACAACAACTGTCTTGTCTGGGTCATGTACCAGCAAAACCTGAAGGAGTGGCCCCTGTGAGGGTTGGTGCAACATGCAAGCCTCCAGAGGTCACTTCAGTAGTGTCAAAATAGTTTAGTTTTATTAGGCTGATTCCCAGAAACCAAAGTTTCATACCATCATCATTTGATGGTATGAACAAAGGAGGTGTGCAATTAGACTAAAAGCTAAAACAATGACTCAATACTATGCTAATTGATAAATGCATTTTACATGACAATGCTACTGGTTTATGAAAATGACTGCAGCCATTCACCATTTATGTCTGAGCTTTGAATCCTTCTCAGTGTTCATATTTTATTGAAAGTTTTGTTTTAGCTGCTTTTTGTTAGATGTCAGTATCATTAGGTGCCAGAGTACCATGACTACAACCAAAATGTGAGTTTAAAGTCCTTCACTAAATGTTTGTTACATGGTTAAAATTTAGTTTTGTCAAACATTTCCAGCAAAGGAACAACCTATAATAATTTTTGCTACCATACTAAAAATATTCAGTGCTGTTGCATAGTTTTAACACTGAGATTGCCAGTGTTGTATTTTATGAAAATGTGTTGGGATTTGTGATCTAATGGACAAAGTGCGATAGCATATTGAATAAACTAAAAACCATGATGTGCAACAGCATAGCCTCTAGTCTCCACTGCCCACCAGGAGGCTCCTCTTATTGTGCTTCACAATTCAGCCATTCACCAAGTCCCCTACACAGTGTCATCAGTGGTATCAGGCGTTGTTTATTTTATAAAAAAAAAATTTATCTCGCCTGCTGCGGCACGTTTGCTTCCGCATTTTTGCTCAGACGCCGCTTTAGCTTCGAGGCGCATACGCAGTAGTGGCCATCCAGATCAGCATTCGTCACCAGAGAAAGAAAACATGGCGAGTCGGCAACGTAGCTAAGAAGTTTGGGAGCAATATACAAAGAAAGACCCGTAGAGTGCAAACTCTGCTAAGTGAAACTCTTCTTTCATGGGAGCACATTGATGATGCATGAGTCTTAAAAGGAAGCCAGTCACGGCGGAGAATGAAAAGTAGCCTCGGTAAGTTTACCTCTTGTTAGCTGCTAACATAGGCGTAGCAACACCAGTAGCAGTGGTGATTTTATTACCTTTAGAACACGTTTGTATGTCATGTATTTTTGCTCTAATTACAAACGCTAATGATTTATTTCATCCCGCTACATTAATAAAAGTGCTCCTCTTCAATGGACGACTTTGTTACGTTCACACCTCAGCAAGCTAATGTCCTGACCGAGGCCATTGTGAGCATGTTGGTCATAGACCCCTGCCCATTGTCGGTATCAAGGTTTCAAAGAGATCATCAAGCAGCTAAACCCAGGATACCACGACAACCATCTACCGGGCCGATCCCATTTTACCACCATGATGGAAAAAAATATATGAAACAACCTTTAAGGTGTGTGTGTGTGTGTGTGTGTGTGTGTGTGTGTGTGTGTGTGTGTGTGTGTGTGTGTGTGTGTGTGTGTGTGTGTGTGTGTGTGTGTGTGTGTGCGTGTGTGTGCGTGTGTGCGCGCGCGCCACGTTTTTGTCTGTTTCTCACTGGACACAAATAGAATATACAGAATAAAATGCATTTTATGATTACATAAAAATGTTGCTAACTGAACAATCAAGAAACTTAAACATTTTAAAGCATAACTTACTCTATTAAACAGAATTATTAATCTAGTAAATATACTAACTTTAATATATTTTATCTTTATGATAAAACAGACCCTCAGGGCTGTCAATGATCCCCTGATGTGTGGACCAGCCGTAGTACAGAGGCGTATCTAGGTGTGTCCTGCCATTTCCTGAGTTAAGATTGGAAGATGAAGCAGTTCAACCTTGTCACCATGCCTCTTGTGAACACAAGTCATTTTTGTGTACAATTTATTTTCGGTTTTATGTGCCTACCTCCATTTGACAGTAACATTTGGATTAACAGGTTACAAAGTTAATTAAAACTTGTTTGATAAACTATCATCTTGCCTTTATTATTAGATGGCACATAGCTGATCACACTTCAAACCAGAAGATAATGATGGTATATTGGAGCATGATCCTGTAATATATGTGTATACATTTGTAATATAACTGGCCTTTCACTTTTGGTTTGTAAATATGCAAAAAAAATTTGTATCGAGTCAAATTTATATTTCTCCATCAGCTCAAGTGTGGAGTCACACAAACACATTGACAAAGAGGTTTTTTCTTCAGACTTCTCTATCACCTGGGGAAAGTGGCAAAGCAATTCCCCACCCAGACAACAGAAGGCGTAGCACTTTTCTGGGGTATTCTGGCACCACCACAGTCACGTATGCGGTCCAATAGAGAGTAACGACTATTTTGTTTACAGTGTTTTAATTAACTTAAGATACTTTATAAATTACTATTAATTTTTAAAATGACTTAATTACTATTGCGGTTACACTGTTTTAATGCATTTCAGAGACTTTTATAACAAACAAAATTGTCCCTCATTGTCCCCCATCTTTTCATGCAATCAGTACCTCTAAATCCCTATTTCTCATCATTTCCATTCACAAATTAAACACTTGTTGCGTATCTTTGTATTCCTTGAGTCACGGGAGAATAAACGTTAATATTTTCTGACTTATCCCACGAGGCATTCTTTAATCTTTTTTGTGTTTGCTGCTAAATATCTTTGATTTTTTGAGGGGCATTGGCAGTGCTATTGACGAATTTAAAGGAAATGGTGTCCTGACCAATCACATGCTTGTGGTCTCTGTCACTTTTGACGGATAGTTACAAATTTGGGCACGTCTCCGTCTTTCTCTGCAAGCCTGTCGGAGAGCCCTTGCGCCGACACATTATGGCGTTGCAAATCTCCATACTGACGCATATGGAAAAGTATAAATTAAGCTTGAGTTACACTTCTCAGTCTACTAGTATGGCAGATGAGCCAGCTGGAAACTGTTTAAAAGATGTGCATCCATTCCTAATATCCAAAGCATTTTATTACGTTACGTATATTCTAGAGGTAACCAGTGGTTACAATATAGTATGTGGTTAATAACCACATACTATATTGTGAAAGACTTGCAACACTCACTCTTAAATTTAAAAGCATGTATTTGTCTCTGACATGAATGGGAGCAGCCACTGTTTATTCAGAGGCCAACAGAAATCAATACTTGTGCATTATTCCTGCTGGGAGGAAACCAGATCAAGAATTCGCTGAGAATCAATGTGACGTCTGTAATAGATTAGCATGGACCAAGTCACAATGACACTCAAATGCTAAATCCCATTAAAGAGGTATTCAAATTTGCTGAGTTCTTTTGTGTCAGTTATTTTCAGAGCCATTGTGTTTTCTTTAGTCAAAACAAAAAATAAACTGCTTGTGCATCATGTATTTAGAGCTTTACTGGGAAATAAGTGCTTCCACAGTTATACTTTGTTTATTGCTCTTTTATCAGCAGCAGAACGAGAACTGTTGCTTGCCAATTCTCCAGGATTTATGGTTCTACCCTGGCAGCTGGTAATGTCCTTAATATCTTTTGTTGACATAATAGCCTTAGAATCAAAACAAGCAAAAGTACTATTAATGCATAATATGTTTTAAACTGATGTTTGTTTGCAGGGTTTCCCCCAGCGCTTTATAAGCCTGGCACCACGCCAGGCTTTGCTTGCCCACCTGCCAGGCGAAGTGTCATGCCCCGCCGCCCTCCCCGACCCTACCGTGTCCGCTGGCACGAACGGCGCAGTACAACTAGAGCCCTCCATCAGCTGATACTGGTGAGAAGCTGCAGCGGAACGTGTGCAACCACCCCACCCTCGCTTTCACAGAGGAGCGCTGCGGGACGGATAAATGGAATCTTGCCTTCCATTTAGTTGATTAATCCATAATGGGTCCATATATTACCTTTTAACATCTTTGGAGCAGTTTTAGAATCAAATATTTATACTGCAGCACAACAACAAACGTCAATATTCCACAATTATCGATTATGGAGTGCATCTTCAATGATTCATAAGTA